GTAGTAGAGAAGTGATGAAACCGGAGAAACTAAGGTGTGACAGCTTCAGATTTAAAACAAAGGTTTGCAATGACACCGGCTATACGTTTTATCTATAAATGCACCATTGGATTTAAGGCAAAGAAKAGATTGAGAAAAATACATGTATCAAAACGTAGATCAGCAGGTGATCCAACAAGTTAAATGGAAAAACTTCAGAACAAGAAAAACAGAGAACTAGATCTAAGGTTAAACTGTTCAATAGCCATTGATTGGAGAATAGATTGGGGAACCGGAGGGCATTCATGAATACAAGAAAATCAAATACTTAAAATTACAGTAAGAACACAACAAAATCAGAAAACAATAACAAAGAGAGGGATACGAGGAAACCATACCAGAAACTCGCTCCGCTCCGACCGTATCAGGCCAATGGAGTTTGAGTAGAGACCGGAGAAAGAAGGGAAAAACAGTATATATTTTTCTCTGCAAATACAAACTCTGTTTACCAGCAGATCGGCCTGCCGAAGTAAAGTAAAAAATCACTACGAAATGGGCTCGCGAAATTTCACAGGACAATTGAAAAAGAAAAAGAAGAGGTGTAAGGAGAAAAATCTATTTCTTTGTACCTTTTTGGATAAAATATTAAAATATCYCCTAAAGTCTCGTTGGGTTTTATTTTAACAAAAACCTCCCCCGTAGCTTCCAAAGAAACCTAAAATTGGATTACCTCTCTTTTATCATTGTCCCACATGAAAAACATTATCTTAATGCATTAATTTTTTGAAAATGCAATTCATATGAACATTTACTAAACTACCTCCGAAAAACTTTTAACTTAGTCTAGAAGGGTATATTTGACATTTTAAATGTCCTAAGGAATAATAAGGGTAATTTTATAAATTTGGAGATTTGATTAAAGGGAGATAACTATAGGTTTCTTTCCGAACTATAATGGAGGTTTTTGTTAAAATGAAACTTATGGAGAGATTTTTATGATTGTCAGGAATGTTAAAGGGGTTCTTATATTTTTCCCATATTTGGGAAATTTGCTCAAACCTCCCTAGTACGTTGTGACAGTTGTGGTTCCGTTTATGATAATAGCACTTTCTCCCCTAAACTTTATACCCCCTCCATTAACTCAACCTTAGAATGTTAATCAAAACTTCTTATATCTTCTCAATATTTTTAAATGTCAAGATGAAAATATGTGGTTTTACACTAAGCAAAATACCTTGAAAAGAGTCATCCATATCTTACTTGTTTGGGGAATGATTCCGTCAATTACGTATCAAGAATATGGAACCAGGGTCCCTCTTGTTTGGGAAAGGAACAAACATAATTCTTTTAGGCTGCGTTTAGAGACGATGCAAATGGAGTATAAATCCCGGTTCAGGATAAATTTGTATTCTAGTTCATTTTTGCATGTGTTTGATAACATTACATTTATGCATTGACAAATGACAGACCAATGCATATTTACATTGATAATAAAATGTAAAAGTATATCAATGTTTTATTGGAATTCATGTTTGCATCCATTAAAGATAAAAGTCTGTTTGTTAAGAGTGTAAATTTGTCAGTGCAAAACTAACCCAATTTTACAATTTAGGCTCAGTTTGGAAGTAGTACGAATGCAAATATGTGTAGCATAAATACATACAAAATAATATAAAATATAAGGTTTTGCACTCTGAACTCTACATATTTGCATTTGTACTCCTTCCAAACTCAGCTTTATATGAACTGTTCTACATTCTACATATTTGCATTTACACTTATTTGCGTTGTTTCCAAACGCAGCCTTAGCTTTTTGTTAGGAAATATCAATGCCAAATTAAATCAATGGAAAGCTTTTGGTGAGCTTGGCCTAATTCAATTTGTTCTTCAAACAAAATCACCCAAAGCTTTTGGTGAGCTTGGCTTCTGAGTCACTAAAACGATTAACTTAGTCCTATTTAAGAAATTAATTGACATTTCATTAATGAACAACATAAACTTTGGGCTCAAGTTTGAAAGTCTAAATATTTGAAGAACAAAGCTCCTTTCCCCTATCATATCAAATTCAGTGGCTCTTTGTTTTGGAAGTCCGTTGCCCCTACTATCGATGCAAAAACTGCTTCAAGAAGTTGGTTTCCTAGGCTCAGTTTGGAAGTAGTACAAATACAAATATGTACAGTGCAAATGCGTATAAAATAATATAAAATATAAGGTTGTATTCCATCCAAACTGAGCTCTAATAACTCATCCCCCAACCCATTTCCCATCACATTCGGTACACCCCCTGATATCCTATTTCAATGCACAAAGCCAGAATGAAGTCTCACTGTAAGATCATTTTAGCCCCCATGAGATATCAAATATTTGTCAAACTCCCATCTTTATGGAGGAAACCATAGTTAGGTGGATTTGGCTAAAGCATTCTACTAGAATATTTTCATCTAAACATGTTTATATGGATCTTCAACATCATACGTTTTCAGATCTTTCTCCTACCAAAAACTTTTGTTTTAAATGGATTGGGAAGTTACCTCTTTCTCCACGATATCAGTTGTTTATGCAATGTACTAACCAGCTGGTTGATAAGGTCACTTGCTGGTTGTAGCGGAGACTTGAAACCGAATCCTGCCTGCACCTGGGGTGGGGGATGGACTATCCCCGTTGTGTAATCCTTCAGAAGATGCTATCCCGATTGTGTAGCCCTTCAGAAGAGATCAAAAAAAAGAATTCAATTATTTGTGTGGGGATTAATGAATGAGTTTATACCTATTAAAGAAAAACTTTTTGAAACTCATTTTGACACCCAATGTGTGTTGTTGTGTAATCACACAATTGATTCTATTAACCATCTATTATTTTATTGCCCCCTTGCCCAATCGGTTTTATTTGTATTCACTCTCTTATTCAAATGTTTTATCTATTTTAAGCTAATAATCTCTTGTGCATTTTTCTTGTTTTTGACCTCAATCCTTAGTCATGATCGTTTAGCAAAAGTCCCTATTAGACCACTTTGGGTCATGCTGACTGAGGTGCCTAGGAGCTCAGTGGCACCTGGTCCCATAGAGCTCATGCTCTTCAGCCAAGCCAGCCATGAACTTCAGTTGGCTCTGTTCCAACCTCAAGTCGGATAGGTGCCTAGGAGTCTTCGGCGAAGTTGACTCCGAGCACAGAGTTTGATAGATGCTCTATATCCATAAATGGTAGGGGTGTCGTGCCCGTTATGCTCAGCTAGGGCTAGGTCATTGTTGGTGGTTGGTCGTTAGCGGTCATTGTTGGTATTGTGATCGCTAGACCTTGGTCGTTAAGGGTCGATTGACTCGGCCATGCCTTTATGTGTGTTCTCTTATCTTGAACTCTCTTTGGTGGACCACGGCATCGTAGTACTTGGCCATCTTTTGCTGATGTACTGCTATCCTGATGTGTGTTTCAATCTCAGGCTTCTTCCAATAAATCGAGCTCGGTCATAGATCCTCATTGTTCATTTCTTCATTATAGAGCTCAGTTTAGATACGGGGGGATTCGATCTTTGCAAGGATCACTACCTCGGCTCCGAAAAGTCTTGAAGGCCTTGGTTAAAGATTTCCCGAGCAGCTTTGATTACAGGAAATGAAAGATTTCCAATGGATTGAAGGCCTCGGCTCCGAAACTTTCTACTTATTTATATTTTTCCATCTAGGATCTCACACGTTGGGATAGTAGTCAAATTGGGCCTCATAAGTTGGGTTGGGGATTGCAAGTAAATTACATGSTTTAATTTATAGGATTTGCTAGATCACAAGGTTGCTTAACAGGCGGGCTGCGAGGTCGTGGGATCGCGAGATTGAAAGACCAATATTTAAGAATCACGAAGAAGTTATGTGGGATCGCAAAGGCACTGTGGGACCAAGGTTGAAGAACTATGGAGTTATACGGGATTGCAACTGACCCCTAATAAGAATAAACGTCTAGTAATAAAAAATGGGTCAGTGGTTCGACCGTCTGATTTGAATGAATAATTCGTTTCAATTTAAAAAGAAATAAAAAATAATTAAAATAAAAATAGTCAAAAGCTGTTGTTTGGAGTCAAATAAGTCGATGATTTGATTGCTTGGGTAGTAGATTATTAACCAAAGTCAACCGCTTTTGGCCAAAGAACAGGTTAAGAATAAAACAGAACTAATTGTCTCGATGGTTTTTAGGTCAAACGGTCCAACCATTCGAGTCAATGACTGTTTAGAAAAACTACCCAAGTGGATTTCTACGGTTAGCATTGTCCACGTTCACAATTAATAAATACCACAAAATAACAAGAAGATCTACAAGGTTGATTTTGGGGTACTACAAGACTTAAACAAACAAACATGATGACTGGTGGAGCACCAAATGTTGTTTAGCTATTACTAATTTGGGTGTAGCACAACTATTGTGACCTAAATGATTCATGTCGTTCAGGTAGACATGCTCACACGCAAGGCATTTGTAAGAAGAAATTTGGGAGTGACCAATCAGTGATATGTAAGTATCAATGTTTTTGAATCGTCGTTGATCTGGACAGTTGGACCTGTTTAGCCTAGAAATCTCAGACAACTAGTTTCGTTTTACTTCAAACCCAATTCTTGATAAAAAATCATTGAATTGGTCAATAATTCATTGACCTGAACTATTGAACCATCAATCCGTTCAATCTATTCAACTGTTTATAACTGTTTTTTATTTTAATTGTTCTTTTATTTTTCATCAAAACGGACCATCATTTAAATCAGATAATCAAATCATTAACCCGAAAACCAATGGCCCGAACTATTCCGGTTCCGGATCGGTTTTTTGATAAACACAGTAATAGATTGCAAGGGATTTGGTGAAAGGTGGTAAGTCAACAACGTAACTATTTAATGAACTTCAGTTCTAGAAACATAATATAATGTTGTTGAGACTATTAAATTTGATAAAAGAAAGATGGTATTGTTCACCTCTTAATTTCATGTGTCATCGATTCAACCAATTGAATCAAATGCATGTCAGTTGTTTAGGGAGCCAAGAGAGAATAAGAGTTTCATAGGTATGTTGTTAATATATCTTCTTCATGGGTCTCCATGGGGTCTAAGACCCTATTTATAATGATTTTCGTCTTCTTGATTTCAAGAATTTTCTTCAAATTTTCCTTTTCTTATTATATTATAACAGAGTAGCTTTGATTAAAGGAATAATTGGTCTAGAACAGTCTAATCTGACTCGGGTTTGTGCCGGGTCAGTTGGGTTGATGTATTTATATAAATCCACTGCCTTACACATTAATCCTCGCATTATCATTCTAAATAAAATGAATATGTATGTTAATGGGCACATATAAAAATAGGGGTGGGAATGATATTTTGCAATATAATCTATCTATCTATACTATTTATAAAAGAGTGAATGCCTCTTCTTTCTAGAATTTTCATTAGATGTTTTCTGTCCTTTTTGTCTAAATATACAATGGGTATAAACAGGGCATATATGTCCTTTACTCTCATTTTAAAAACTATGCATTTATAACTGTCCACGAATTATAAATAATTTTATTTAAGAGATAGTGTATCATGTGCAAATGCACGTACATATTTACTAGTATATCAAAGCACCCTAATATTTGATTAGTTCTTATTCTCATCATCAAAATCCTGTCTAGAGTTTATTGCGCAAAAGAGTCATCATTGATTGTTCCAAAGCTATACTCACTATTATTCTTTGGTAATTCAATTATTTTCTTCTTCTTGTGTTTTTTCTTCTTCCATTATTGATTTTTATAGTGATTACATAAGATTATTTTGCAACCGAAACCCCAACAACACTTCTTGTGATATGGTTGGGGTTAGAAGAGATAGATAAATAGATAGAGAGAGAGAGAGTCTTTTCTCATTCCAGAACACTTCTTGTTATGTGGTTGGGGTTAGAAGAGATAAAGAGAGAGAGAGAGCCTTCTCATTCCAGAACACTTCTTATTATGTGATTGGGGTTGGAAGAGAGAGAGAGAGAGAGAGGTGGATCACCTTAGTTGAGTTGCAAAACAAACAGAAGAAGTGTGGTGGCCAAACTTCATTCTGATCCTTTTTGTAGGAAAATAATAGCTCAAGTCTCCGAGACTCTGTCAACAAGCTAGCTGGCACCTTCAATGTGTGTTTCTTTGCAAGCATGATTAAAATCGAATACTTTTGGATGACCTGCAAGTGAGTCACCCCTGGTCTGACATGGCAAAATTTATTGCCAGATGGCAAATCAAAACCATGCATTCATATTGAAGCACATTGTGTATTTGTGTGAATTGAATAGGCCAAGTGCAAAATTTGGGCTTTTGGAGCTTGGTACATTGCAAACTTCGTATGTTACTTTTTGGGAATTTTGAAGGACGAAAATTATTAAGTGGCACATGGTAAGCTAAAGGGGCGAATTTTTCTAAATAATGGGAAAATATATATTTGCCACCTGGACTTTCAAGTTTCAAGGCAATGGTTTCGATCTGCCATGTGGCCAAATGATGTCCAAATTATTAGACCATGCCTACATCCACATGTTAGTACATATCCTTTGTGCTCTTTTTGATGCTATTACATGATGATCCGCCATGTGCCATCTTTTTTATGTGAGGCGCATTGGTCATACCATGGAGAACTTTGCAGCTTTGTGGGTTTAATCCCATAAATTGCAAGTGTATTAACAAAAACTCAAGAAAACATCTATACACAGCATTTCCTTTTGTAACTATATCTCAACACCTAAACTCATCTTCTTTATGAGCAAAAACATCGTGACTAGGCGTACTGGGTTCTGCAGATGAGAAACCTTGTTCAGCATTGATCCCAAACTCATATTCTGAGAAAATTGTTCTAGGACTCATTTAATTACTCATATTAGATGTAACTTCACCATTCCTTACATCTCTTGCATGCCCTTCATCTGGAGATTTCTTCTTATGGGATTTATGAGCCGAGATGTCTTTCTTTTGATCAAATTGTTTGATCATGGATGCCACTTTTTGCCTCACTGATCCTTCAGATTTTATAATGTCTCTTTGCTCATGAAGGAATATAAAGAAGAATATGAAGAGGGCGAAACTGGAAGAGACTCCAGCAATGAGAAAGAGCCCCCTGAAGCTTTCCATAGTGAGACTATCAGAACTTACAGTGCTTTCTCTTTGCTCTAGACAATCTACTTGCTGCCCAAACGATTCATGCTCAATCTCTGACATTTTAGCCCCCTCAGTTATGTTTAAGATCGCCTGTGACATGTCAGCTACTAGTGGAGATCCCTTAGGAAAGGCCTACAAGAGGTAGTGAGGGAAAGAGATTAAAATTTATGTACAGAATTGCATTAACAGAAGCCTTTGAAATTTGTTAGTTACTAGTCTCTGAAAAGATTTTGTTTTGATGTAGATGGGAAAAATATTCTCTAAAGCAGAACTGTAATAGAATCCTTCTTCCAGCAATTCCAAGAGCAGGAGCACTGATTTTAGACCTTTCACAAGAGTCCCTCTACTACATCTTATCAAGTGCTTTAGATTAGCTATGCCACCAAATCACCATTAAACATCCCAACTCCCAACTGGGTAAGTCTGACTAGAAATAAAAGAGAACTAGATCACCTGTTTACATATCAATAATGACCCAAGAATTTTCTACCTAAAAGCTTTTCAGATATGCTATTGCTAGTTGTGATAAGTTTCAATTTTCAACAAACGAGTACTGTAAAACTAATTTGGAGGGTACCCATGTTAACTCTCTAACCAAAAGAAAGAAAAAACTCAGAGAGGGAGAGACTTACAAATCCAAAGCCAGCAATCTTATAAGTCCGTCCTGCCAGGGTGTACTTATTGCAATATTTGGCAAGGAAGAGCTTAATATAAGGCATCTCATCCACAATTGCAGAAACACCTCCACACCTGCTCCCTTTGCTGAGGGCCTCATGGTACTCTTCAATAGAGCCATAGGCCCTTAGCTTGGATTTATTAACATTCAAGCTCTCCATAAGCCCTGCAACAAAAGACCCCTCCTGGAAGCCAACATATTCTCCATTCTTTATTATATCTTTGATGTCTGTGATGGTAGGTTGCAGTTGTTCCACAGTCAACATTGATGTCAAACTGGCTGTGTAACTAGATGTCAGAACAAGAACAACAAATACCCATATGATCATCACAAACCTTGATAGATTGCTCAGAATCTTCTCTTCTGCAAATAACAAACCAGGTTAATTACCATCTATTTAAATCCAGTGTACTAAATTGGTTCTTTTGTATAAATGCATAGTTAAACTAGTTCAACTTCTACCCCATTACTCTAAATGTTCTTTTTTTTTTATTTAGGGCAAACTGCTGAGACCTCCCCTGAACTTTTGACACAGTTGCAAGTAGACCCCCTCTGTTAGAATCCTCTAACAAGAGACATGAAAATATCCAAAATACCCGTGCAGTTACTATTGAGGTTGGTTTCTACAGAAGAAACAAATCAAACCTTATAAACAACAAAAAAAAAAAAGAGAATTTAAAACTGTAGCATTTACCTTTTGGTGATTGATATGAAAGGAAAATTTGGAAAATATAATACTTTACTGTACCTTCTCAGTAATAAAAAAAAAATGAAGGGCAAATTTGGAAAATAAATCGATTTTGGGAAAAAGAGATTAAAAGGTTTGGAGTAGCAAAGATTAATGTGAAGAGAAAGTGTGGAAAATAAACATTTTGGTCAAAAGTAATTGCATGGGTATTTTGGACACTTTTTGTGCTTCTTGTTAGTGGATTCTAAGAGAAGGGGTCTCTTCCAAATGTGTCCAAAAGTTCAAGAGAGGCGATTACAATTACCAAACTTCAGGGGATGTTTTAGCAAACATCAGAAAGTCCAGGGACGTAATTTACCCTTTTTAATAGCTATGAGATGGTCAAAGGTCTTTTTCCAAATGTGTCCAAAAGTTCAAGGGAGGTGATTACAATACAATTACCAAACTTCATGGGATGTTTTACCAAACATCAGGAAGTCCTGGGAGGTAATTTACCCTTTTTAATAGCTATGAGATGGTCAAATTAATACTAATAAGCACTAAGTAGTCCTTCCATTAAAATGACTCATATTCAAAACTTGAATGACTTGACCTGGGATGACTCCTGAGTTGGGCCCAATGCTTTTTGGGAATAGATTGGGCTATAACCTTCCTTAAGCCCATCTGCTGCCCAAGCAAAGTTTGACTTGGCCCACAACCTAGCAAATCAGGCAACTTATGGGAAGACCTTATATTCCTATATGGCATGTTTTGTATAAAGAAGTGGAGAAGAATGTATTACTGTGAGCAAACACAAGCGTTGAGAAAGAGAACCAGAAGATCATCCCAACTTGTCTCTGAGGTGGACCCCTGAAATCTGCATTAATACGGTGCTCAAGAACCCACACAACGAAGCCCGTGAAGATGAGAAGAGCTCCAATTGTAAGCCAAAGGTCCATTTTCAGAGGCTTCAAGAAAATCCATGCGTTCTTCCTCTCATCACCTTTGATTGGCACAACCATTGACACCACAGATTCTGTATAAGGCAAGGTGAAGTCCACGTATAATGATCGGTTTCCTAGAATTGTTAGATCTCCAACTACAGCATCAATTTCCTGTGTTTCAACAACTTAATTACTATTAGTAATACAGATATTATGAGAAGAAGAAGTAGAAAGCCCCGTTTGTTTTTCTGGATTTTGAGAGGGGGGAAGTTGGTCGAAGGGATTTTGGTTCCCATTGACTAAGATATCCATGTTCTTTTTTCAGATATATGTGGCGTCCATGAAAAATTTATTTTCCCTATGTATCACTTATCCCAGGTAAGTGATCGTCATTTACATGTGGGTAAGTAATTTTCCCACCTGGGGGAAATTGCCAACACTTAGATGGGAAAAATTGTCCCTTTTAATAACAGATTTTATAACTAAAATGGTCATCGTCTTATTTACGTGAAAAATAAAAGAACATGGGTAAATGAACTTACCTGAGTAAGTGTTTCCTAGGAAATACTTGTGCGCAAGTATTTTCTGGGAAATACTTACCTGGATAAATAACTTCCCAAAAGCAAACGGGGCTGAAGAAGAAGAAGAAAACAGAAACAATGCCTGTTTTTAATTCTAAGCACTCACTAACCTTGAGATGTACTTTATAGACTAGGTCGTTGTAACTCAGTGAGCCCGGACCACAAGCCAACTCGAAGGGAACATACTCATAGTCAATGGAATATGGCAACTGCTTCATTACAGCCTCAAATACACTTATGCAGAAGCCAGTGACATTTGGTGGAGTATTGCTAGAAAGATTTTGCTTCACTTTTACAAATTCAAGGAAACCATCTTTGATGGGAACCCCAACTCTCATTTTCTTTCCACTTGTTGGTATTTCCCAACCCTTTGGCACCTCTTTTCCTTCTCCTGGCCATGTGATATCTCCAAGAATATTCTTCTTACAAGTTGAGAAATTCTTCTTCTGATCATTTGGATTTAATTCCTTAGAGAGCCCATTCCTTGGAGTCCAGAATCCTATTCTTCTCTCCCCTTTTTCTACCACATTTACTATTTCAAAGCCTGGAGATGGTTTCTCTCCATCAATTAGGTGAAATTCTCCATTTAAACCCTTAAATCTAGTCCTCTCAAGTTCTTTAATTAGTTTGTGGCCTACTTGGGAGACCCCAATAGCTGTCAAGCCACTTGAATTCTTCCTTGTGTCAAACTTCTTGAATCCTTCTGAATGAAGACTAACTTGCTCCACTGCCATTGCCAGTGCCCCAAAGCTATCATATGCCCATAAGCCAAAAGCATCTAACTGAACTCTATCTAAATGAATTTCAGGATTTTCCTTGTGGAATTTCCTTCTCCATCTTTTTCTGAAGTTCTTGAGATCCCTGGATCTTGGAACATAAGGCTTCACACCCAAAACTCCTTGCATTGAGTCAATGACAGAAGAATCAAGGGAAAACAAGAAATTTGTAAGCCCAGATGTGGTAATCCAACTATACCCTTTGCTCATCATTCCCACTTCTCTTGCCTTCAAAAATACACGAGAGGCAAGAGAGAGGCTCATATGCACCACATATACTCTGGTTTGTTTGGTCATTAGATTATGAAGTTCTCTCAGAATTTGATCATCCGAGGCCAAAGGAGAGATCACAGATTGGTATGGGACCTTTACATTGATATCTTGTAGAGCATCAGTCAGAAATGGCACAATCCCCCTTCCATAATCTGTGTCTTCATAAATGGGCACCACTTCTCTCCATCCGAAGTGTCGGATAATTGCTAAGATGGGTTGAACTTGAGAAGAGTCACTTGGGGCTGTTCTAACAAAATAAGGAGTTTGGGTGGAGGAAAGGAAAGGGCTTGTGGCAGAGAATGAGATTACTGGCACATGAGTTTTGTTTCCAATATCTGCTACAAAATCAGCCTGTGCAGATGTCTGTGGCCCTAATATAGCTTGCACTCGAACAGTTTTCAACAATTCTATAGCTGCAAAGGAATAGAAAGAGAATAAAAATGAAGTTTGCTTTCTAAGCGTGTATCATGATCAGGGAATTGAAGCATTGAAATTATAGATCATCTACCAAACAAAATGTGGTTCAAATGGACTATATCTCACTAAATCTGTTACAATCTGAAAGAGACAATAATGCCATAACTTGTTTGTAATAAACCTTAATCAATTTATCTTCAACATCAATCAGTTATAGAATTCTAAGCACTTTCATTATGCATCATCTTATTATAGTTAATTTCATAAGCAAAAAGTTTCTACCTAGATAAATTTTCAACCATTGGATATTGATCAAGAAGTTAAAACAGCCTTCCTCATGGAGGCCATAAAACTTCAAATGAACTTGGCCTTGTGGAAATATAATAATTGACATGGATGACAAGCTAGCCTGATCTAGACCCTGAGTATCTCAAGTGAGATGGGGTTGGGCTTTATCATGATCCGATTAAGCCTAGCTGGTTTTTGAACTCTAGTTTGAAAACTTATAAAAGGGTTTTGTACTCTTGAAGAGGATCTGATGTCCCAAGTTCGGGTGTTTTTTTTTTTTTTGTATTTTATGAAAATGGTGTTGTTGAATAAGACTTGCTCAAGAATGAAAAAGATATATATTTGTAGTACAGATCCACATACTTAAAAGAAAGGGTTTACTGAGGATGCTTTAATTTTTCTGCAATTTTTGGATTAGTATTTAAGGTCAAAGTATGCCGAGTTGACTGGTGGGGTCTACAATACTCGGTTTTTGATGAAATTTGGCATCGGGTGGTTTTTTGACCTCCTAAATCTGTTCATGCGGGTCCTACATCTAGTTACTACTACAACTTTTTGGCTTAAGGGGTCGATTTAGGGGTTTTCTCATCTAGTTTTTTGTTGTAGTCTTCGTAGAAAAGACGTATAGGACTCGTCATTTATTGTTCTAGTGGATATAGGGATGGCAACTTTGTGGGAATTTTTGGGTATCTGACCCGTTCCAACCCTAATAGAATTCGTTTATTAAAACCTTATAGGGGTTTGGTTTTGATTTTAGGGTATCCAATACCCGATATCCGGGATGAATAAATATGAACCTACTATATTATATAACATGTATAAATTTATAAATTCTAACTACTAAGATAATTATTCTATTATTAATATTTTATTTGTATAAATTTCTTGTGACTAAAATCATCATTTGATGTAAATTTGGATTTGATAGATTGTTTATTTCATTTAGTTATAAAATGCTAATTTTAAATATTATTCCTTCTAATTTATAGTTTGAATTGTTAATCATATACATGTATTGACTGTTTTGATGAACACAAAAGTTAATAAAATCTATTTTATTTCATTAAATAACACAAAAGGTGAGTAGTGTTAAGAGATTTAGCGCTATCATTAATTAATATGGGTTCAAGTCACATTATAAGCATTAAGAAACTCTTTTTTAGTAGAAAACGTCTGGTCAAAGGGTGGGTTTAACGGGTTTGGGACAGGATGGGCTTGGAAATTGAAGGGAAAAGTTAGACGGATTATTGTTTATTTGTCAATTGTTTTTTCAGATTTTATATCTTTTCCATATCATAGTCGAACCCTTTTAGTACTGATGGGCATACTTGACAGGAAAGGATTTATAAGCATCAAAAGCATTAATGTAATGCTTTAAGTTAGTCATAAGTTCATTCACCCAATTTATTTCAACTCTATATTCACCACAAGTAATGGATCTTTTTGCTTCATGAAAAGTTTCGTTTTTTTTTTTTTTTTTATCAATAACACTTTCATTAAATCCTCAATAGAAGATTTACAAGAGAAAGACAAACACACTTATCTTCCAATAGCAACGAAGAACCTCAAGAAAGGGAAAAAAAAAGAAGAAATTTAAAGAACAAGAATGACCATGTGGGTCAATGTTGAACACTATATTGAATAGTTACTTTATCTATCTCTCTCTCACTCTCACTATTTTAGTTTGCAATGAAAAATTCTGTATCTTATTCATTTTTTAATTTCCTTAGAGAATCAAAATGGTTTATACTTCCCTCTTAATCAAATTAAAGAGTCCTTGGCTATAGGTTCTTAGTTTGATGAACTATATTCACTGTTCTCTTATATAAACTACATAAATTGAAATAATATTGTACTACACTTGTTAGTACTTAGTACTGAAAGACTTTTGGACTTGGGACTGAAATATATTGTAGGTCGTCAATATACTAGGTTTTCTCAATTTATATTAAGATCTAGTTTGAGGTTGTACAGAGATTTATATCATGTCTATGGGTTCTTGATTGTAGAGATCCTTTTGTGAGACAAGGAAAGGATCAAAAGACTAATACAACAAGAAGACGTAAATGGGCTTTCACACAACAATACTAATACAAGGATATTCATAAATGGGTCACTAACTTCTAGTGGAGCTAAGCAATAAATCAAAGAAGAAGAAGAAGAAGAAGAAGAAGAACCTTCAGATGCAGCTTCCACTATGTCATTCTTTGAATCCCTTACATGAAGCTTTAGCCTTGTCTTATGATTATGATGAGTGGCATAGAAATCAGATATCGCCATCTCGATGCAGCTTAAGCCCACCTTCCCAGTCCATGTATCCAAATCTAGAATAACCCCTACATCGATGGTTTCCATTGTATTATTTGGAACGACAAACTCTTCTGCACACAGCTTCAGAGGGAGAATGAAGAGGAGTAGAAGATGGAGGAAGATTGTGTTTTCCTTCTCCATTCTGGAGCTCTGAGACCATTATCAATTGGGTTGATGTTAAAGAGGTCAAGCTAGCTCAAAGCTTCATGTTAACCCTTGTCTTTTATATATACGGCAGAGTAAATTAAACACCGTCTAATACGCCAAGGAGACCGATCGAACATGAATGTTGATTCAAACTTTGAACAGGCACCGTCTTTGGTGAAATGGGAAACTCCATGTCAAATCTTGACCTTTCTCTACGAATTAATTCTGATGATTTATGGAGAACCAGAGCTGGAGTCTGGGGTCTGTGTGCCCACACGTAAGACAATTCCTCTGTCAATGAAGATTGAATTCGGAAGATGTGGAATTGTCAGTGCTTATTAGCCTGCAGAAACTACAATAGAAGAAGGCATATAGATATAAGACAACACTTATTTTAATACTGATGCTATATTTTTCTTTGTTCATTTACCTGGTAAACCGTAGGAGAGTGAGCAGTATTTGGTGGGTTTTCCATTTCTCCCATAGACCGTGGAGGGTGATCTGACTTTTACCGATGAAATCTAGATATACGCGGGATCTATTTGGTTGGACTGATTCTTGTTTTCTTTTCTACATCTTAATACTGTAACTTGTCTAGCTAGTTTACCTTTTGTTGGCTCTTGAAAACTTATTACATGATGATCTAAGGTTAAAAAGTTGAAAGTTGTTATATATGTAGGATTTCAAAAACTGTGTTCATCTTCTTATAGATATCTATCCATTGTTTTTAAAACCGGATTGGACCAAACGGTCCGTTTTACCCTAAAACTACTTTTTGACCAAAAACCGTTTGCTGATTAAGGTGGTTGACCTGAAAACCGGACCCCTGAATGGTTAATAATTTGCCCTTAGCGGCGTTTTAAACCACTATAGAATTTAGAGTCTGTTTGGTTTTAAGGAATAGGTGCTTCGAATCGAAATTGAACTGGCCCATTCCGATTCCTACTATTTCTATAGAAACGAGATTTCTCCATATGGGGTGGTCATGTCCAGAGTTTGTCAAGAAATAAAGAACTCATAACAAAAACAATCTCCTGGTTATACAAAACAGAATCTGTTGTAATCACTTGGCAAAGGCAGTTGTCCACTTGTAAATCTATAAATACTCTCAGGAGAATAGAATAATTTATCAGTTTTTTCCCATTCTTCAATGTCAATTTTCATGGTATCAGAGCCTGACAGACTCTGACCTGTCTCTTTCTGCTTCCTACGTCGTCTCTTTCTTTCTTCTATTTTCTATTCAAACAGCTGTTCTGTTCTGATCTGTATCAATGACGGAAGAACGGATTTCCAGTTCGCTGCGTGCAAACTCCACTATGGATATCAGCTCTGATCCAACGGATTCGCCATTTTACCTTCATCCTTTAGACAATCCAGGGCTGGTTCTCGTTTCTTGCCTTCTCAATGGTGATAGCTTCATCACTTGGCAACGCGCATCTGGATCAAATGTAATTCAACGGTGGTTGCTTGGATTTTTAATTTGCTGGCAAAGGAGCTTCATCACAGTATTTCTTTCACTGAATATGCCTCCGAGATTTGGTATGATCTCCAAGAAAGGTTTGGACAAGGCGATATTCCATGTATATACCAAATCAAGCGTGATCTCGCCCTGCTTCAACAAGGAAACCTATCTATAGCAGTGTATTTCACACGACTGAAAAGCCTTTGGGATGAGCTTGCCTCTGTCACCTAACTGCAATTGTGGCGGTGCGATGAAACACTTTCTGGTTGAACGAGAGAAAGAAAAAATCCACCGGTTCCTCATGGGACTAGGAGATTCTTTCAAGATGATCCGTTCCAACATTTTTGAAAGAACTGATCCTCTTCTAAGTTTCAACAGGATCTATGCTCTAGTTGTTCAAGAAGAGCGCCATCAAATCTCAATCTCTTTGAGAGCTTTGCCCAATCTTGATGCTGCAACCCTCAGTAGTTCTTCCAGACTGTAAAATCTTATATTTTGTATGTATTTACGTTATACATATTTGCATTTATATTCTTCCAAACTGAGCCTAAGGATAATAATCTATTCCTGGAATTTCATTGTAGCAATGGTTTTATGAAGAACTAATCCTACTATGAGGGATCAGTATGATTGAGGGCTATATTGTTTCACTTCAACAGCTAAAGCGATGCAAGCATCTTCTTGTAGTCCTGCACATGTCGGAGAAAGAAGAACAATTGAAGCATGTCATCAACGATTAGGTCATGCAATTAATTGTACGTTTCAGCAAGTAATTTTCAGATTTGGTTTACCATATAGGAGTGGGTCATTTAATTCTAGTGTTTGTGAAGCATGTCAAATGGACAAGATTCGTAGGTTGACTTTGCAGTCTTCTATTAAAGAGTCCATTTGAATTAGTCTTTTCCGATGCTTGGGGAACTTCTCTTGTTAAGTCATTGAATTAGTCTTTTCCGATGTTCGGGGAACTTCTCTTTTTAAGTCAAACAAAGGATATAGTTATTATGTCCAATTTATTGATGATCATTTTAAGTTTTCTTGAATTTTTTTCATGGCCCACAAATCCTATGTTTTTGATATTTTTTCTTTGCTTCAAGCCATCATCTTGAAGTTTTGTTTAATGCTAAGTTTTTTATATTAAATATATTTATTTATTTATTAGGGTAAAATACAAAAACCTCCCCCTTAAGTTTTTGACAATAATAAAAACCTCCTTTATAGCTTCGTTTTAATAAATACCTCGCTTGAACTTTTGAGAAATTCAACAAAAGTCTCCCTTCCATCACCTTTTCAGACGGAAAACATTACACTAATGCACCAAATTTTTTTCAAATACTCATTTTACCCTTTTATAAATTATTTTACATACAAAATTACTGAAATGACCATGTTTTAACTTGATAGAAACCTCCTTTAACAGTCATCTTTTAATGTTTTTGTCGAGTTAAAACAAGGTTATTTCAGTAATTTTGTATGAAAAATAATTTATAAAAGGGTACAATACTACAATGGGTATTTAGAAATAACCGGTGCACCAATTTAATGTTTTCAATCTGGGAAGATGACAGAAGGGAGGTTTTTGTCGAGTTTCTCAAAAGTTCAGGGGAGGAATATGTTAAAATGAAATTATAGGGGAGGTTTTTATGATTGTTAGAAACATTAGGAGAGGTTTTTATATTTTACCCTATTTATTATAGTCAAGTCCATTGGGTCAGACCCGATTATCCCAAGAACCGATCGGTTCAGTTCTAGGTCTGAAAATTACAAACTCTATAAGGTCCAGTTCGGTTCCAGGTCCTCAATATTTCCTATCGGATCGTTTCCGGTTCTAGCTAGTCCCGGCCCAGACCCCATTGGTTGACAGCCCTAATTATTTTTAATGATGTATTTTTGGCATTCATTTAAGTTTTCATAGTGTATGCATGCAAATCTTAATTTTTCCACTTTATCCAAAGGCTATGTTTGGTTTAGATGAAAAGATAGGGAAAAGAAGGAAAGGTTTGTACAGGCTTTTTCCTCTGTATCCAACAATTATGCTTCTCACGCTTATTTGGATATGAATATAATATCAAGGGCCAATTTCTTAAATTGTCCCTACTGTTTAGCTAATTGATAAATTGTATCTTTACTGTTTAACTATTATCTTAAACCATTCCTACTATTTCTGACAATTGACTAGTTGTACCCCTACCGTTAGCATTGTTAATGTTCCATCAAAATCCATACACACTTGACACCATATAACATATGCCTTTTCTTAAAACCAAATATTACCCTTCATCCCTCTTCATATTTCATGGCTCATCTTACCCCCAAACCCAACATAATGGGAACGAAAACAGCAAGGGTAATGTCGTTGTTGTATCTCATATGGCTTATCTACTCTTTGCTGGCAGATCCAAACCCCAATATTACCATCCATCATCTCTTTAATTTGAAGACAAAAGCACCCCCAAACCTAGCAGGGACCTCCTGCTTGTGCAGACTCTCAAAAGGATGTCTGGAGTTTTGAGTAAGGCACAAACTTATCTTAATTGAAGTAATTCGAAGTCCACAGGCCTTTTAGAACCACTCCAATGCTACCGGCGGTTACTCCTTTTCCAAGACCGCTAACGACCCGCCGATCATCAAAACGTATTGCATTTTCTTCCCGATAGGCGATTAATAACAAATTAACAAGCACACAAACAAATAGGCCCCCCTCCACTGTTTCACCAATAATAACTACTGCCATCAACAAGACTAATTCTAACAAACACATGAAATAACAAGAAGAAAAGACTAAGCACAACTCCGTAAGCATGCACTACACTAAAACCAGAGACCTTGTTACTTTTTTATTCTGTATGCTTAAAGGACACGACATTAGGTCAAAAGGACTGGTCGGGACGCTGGTTAAGCTACCCAACTTACTGGAATGTTGATGCTTGCTTTTTGTCTGAAAGACATGAAAGAGAGAAATAAATAAGACAGGGTGGTGGCAGAGATGAAATTGAAACAGGAGAGTGAGGATGAAAGGAGGATTGGATGAGTTTATATAATATATTATGAAATTGAAACGCCAGGGACCTCCTGGCAACACTGCTTGTGCAGACTCCAAATCTTCTCCCCAAGTAGATCGATGGCATCATCAGTCACATAATCGTAGGTCAAGCAACATGCCAACATCCATGCTCACGAGTTCTGGTGAGCATTGTTGAGTGGGCCGACTTGTGTTTAGTTTATTTCCTTTTAAATTAAGATGTTGTTGGGCCTTGGGCCCATTAGTCTTTATTTTCTAAAGAGTTGTAATTACTTAGGTTGAGTTGCCGCCCTACTTAGGGCATCTTTGTAATATCTCATACTTAAGTTAATTATAAATAGAATGAGGGGCTGGCGGCTAGGGTTAAGTCAATCTATCCTAGTCGACCTTCTTCTCTTTTCTTCCCTTTCCTTTGTCTCTTGCTGAAATCCCCAACTTTCTACTCTTCCTTTCACAAGAAGCTTGGCCGAAATCAGCACATAAGGTTTTCTACTTGGTACCAGAGCGGGTTGAAGGTTCTTGAAGAGATTCGGTCCTGCAGCCCTAGATCGGCCAACTGCATGGAGATTTAAGAGGCTGATCAAAGCTTTCAGGTAAGCCCAGTTTTTGGATTTTCTTGGTGGATCTGTATGCCCTATAGCTGGTCTAGGGTTTCTCATCAGAATCAGGAAAAACTAGAGAAAGGGGAAGAGTCCTGATTTTGTTGGACTCTTCAATTTTGACCTAGGTAGTGGCGCCCTATTTTTTTTAGGGTTCCTCTGGGTTTTTTGTAAGGGGCGATTCAAGTTCCATGTGGTTTGGAGGCCTCTAGAGAGGGCGGTTACTTCTTCTCTCTCTTCTCCCCGTCCCACCGAAAAGGAATCTTTCGTGGGAAGAAAGTCTAGGACACCAAAGGAGTGTCGTTGGTTCCAGAAGGTATTCTGTTTATTCTTGATGCATTTTTTAGCTGTTTTCTGTACCTCTTTGAGACACATGAAGGGACACAGAGTTGAATATAAGCCCGGGAATGAAATGAAACCAGTGGAATGAAGTGCTGGAGACCCCTTCGAAGCCGGAACCATTACTACAGTTAGATTGGATGATACAAATTACTTGGAATGGTCCCAATCTGCAAAGATGGCCATTGGGGCTCATGGAAAACTGGGGTATATTATTGGTGAAGAGGTAAAACCCGAAACTGGCAACTCCCGGTGGATGCAAGAAAATTATATGATAATGACATGGTTATGTAATTCTATGTTGCCACATATAASTAAAAACTTTTTATGGGCAAACACTGCTAAGGAGATATGGGATGGGGTGGTAGAGACCTATTCACAGAAGGAGAATGTTGATAGGGCTTATCAACTAAGAAATCAGATTATTGCTACTAGGTAGGGAGATAGATCTGTTGCAGCTTATTTTTCAGTCCTTAAAACCCTATGGCAGGAGATTGATCATCTAGAGACCTTTGCTTGGGAAACCACCAAG